CTTGCCGGCCTAATGCAGTATTGCAACTTGCTGGCTCGTTCCTCTGGCCTCGGAAACACTTGCCAATAAGACGTCTTGTGCGACACTCTTGAGCCAATTACATGCCACCTCGTTTCTCCAAACAGCCAATGAGATCTCTGATCAATTAACCAATCGGGTGAAGGCGATATTTTACCCAGCCAATAAGTGCTCTCTGGTCACGTGACGTAGTCGCTTCCTCAGCCGACGTGTGGTAGCTTTTATTAATTGACCAATTACGTGTCACCTCGATCCTCCAGCAGCCAATAAAAAGTCGTATAGTGATTGGTAATCCTTCATGCGCTCTCGTACTTTCTTTTGATACACATAACATATTTTTACCTTTAGAATTAAAACTCGATGACTTTAATTAAGTTAAAGAAGCCACGATAAATATTCGATGAAAATTAATGTTTAGCAAAGTAACAACGCTGCCAAACAGTATACATAGAACAGCGGCACAAGCTGGAACAAGGAACGCCGCTTTTCCCGCGCAAATTTGAGCTCTGGAGAAGAATTTTGGGTTGGAAAGAAGTGTTTTAAAACGCCAGAAGACGCGCGCGCGCTTTTTTTTTTTGTAATTCTGTGTTGCTCTTGAGCGTGTAATGCAACTCTTCCCTTCCCTTCCCCCTCCTGCTGAGTGGTGTGTAAATGCGATCACACTGCTTTATTGATCTCGTATGTCCTCTCCGTGGGAGGTGGTGCTCGCGCGGGGTGGCTAAGATGGGCTTTCTGGCTGTTGTCAAGTGTGCAGGAAGTGATTGTGTTGGCTTTGGGGCCTGGAAGGCTTCAGGCTTCTTGTCGTAGCCTCCACACGACAAGGAGTCTTCCTCCTGTTTTGGAGCGGAAGTGTTGGTTTAAGTCTCAGAAGGCGCCTTAGTAATTTTATCCGTTTCTCACCACTTCTGTAGCTGCAAGATGCCAGTTTGGGATGCAGTTATTCCTCGGGTCGCCTAGACGCACTGTGAGGATAACTGGAGCTGGGAGTAAAGTCTTTTAAAATCTTTCTGATCTATTCGCTGGAGGGTTGATGCCACTGAGGTTGTGACTCAAGGCTGTATTGTAATGGGTTGTGATTTTGTGTTGTATTAAAGCAACTTCAGGAGCGAGTAGTATTTTTCCGCTTGTAACTTGGCAGTGTTGTCCCAGCCGGGGAGAGCCGGCAAGAGGGGAAGGGGTGTAGGGATGAGTTGTCTGGTGCAGGTGGGGCTGGCAAGATACTTCGTGTTGGTAACACTGGGTTATAGAAGTGAGCTATATTTCCCCCTCTTCCACTCACATTCTCTCCCACTATCTCCCATCTTATTTCCTTCCTCTCAATCTCGGTCGCCCCTCACTCTCTCCCTCTCTCCCGCTTTAACTCCCCATCCCCACCTCTCCCGCCTGTTCAGGTTCCCACTCACGGCAGGATATAAACTCTACAAAAAATCGATGAGCGTTTCGATTTTGTTGCATCTCATCCTCTGGGATCCCTCACTCAGCCGGAGTGGCGAGCGTTCCAACAATCCCCGTTGCCTCGATTGTGTTTCAAGTCGATTTCCTGTGATCCCTCTGACTGGTGTGGGATATTACCTTTCGTAAATTTATACAGTTTCGATTTTGTTTTAATTTTATCCTCCGGATCCCCTACTCGGTGGGAGACATAAGTGTTCCAATATTCCGCGTCGCTTCGATTTTGTTTCAGTCCGTCTCCTTTGATCCCTCTGATTAGTGTCGGATATTACCTCCTCGAAAAAAAAAATGCCTATCGTTCCAAATTTATTTTTATTCATTCTTACTCGACGATCTCTCACTTAGCGGCAGACAAGCGTTCCAATAATCCTTGGCGCTTCGATTTCGTTTCATCCCCTGTGATCCTGCTGACTGGTGCTGGACAAAAGACTTTCGTAAGTCTGTTCAGCTTCAATTTTGTTCCAATTCTTCTTTCTTCCGGGAAAAACGCACTTGTCGGAAATATAAATGTCCCAACAGCTCCGAGTCGGTTCGATTTGTTTCAACCCGTTCCCCCCACACAGTTATGGGTAGGACTGGCTGCCCCAGACCCCTGTGACTGGTGGTGCTGGCTCACCCAGACCCTGTGACTGGCTCCCCCAGACCCCTGTGACTGGCTCTCCCAGACCCCAGTGACTGGCTCCCCCAGACCCCAGTGACTGGCTCCCCCAGACCCCAGAGACTGGTGGGGCTGGCTCCCCCAGACCCCAGTGACTGGCTCCCCCAGACCCCAGTGACTGGCTCCCCCAGACCCCAGAGACTGGTGGGGCTGGCTCCCCCAGACCCCAGTGACTGGTGGGGCTGGCTTCCCCAGACCCTGTGACTGGTGGGGCTGGCTTTCCTTGTTCTCGAGGGCTCGTACCTCTTGAAAGACCTTTGGAATATGAGGCTACATACTCTAGGGTACACAATATAGAGGGAGGGGAATATGAGGCTACATACTCTAGGGTACACAATATAGAGGGAGGGGAATATGAGGCTACATACTCTAGGGTACACAATATAGAGGGAGGGGAATATGAGCACCAGAGCAGCTCACTGGTGCTCTAATGGAGCCACGGCCGTCGTACGATGCTGAAGTGGTTACAACACACTTATCTTGAGCTCCTTAATTATAACTGCTAATTCAACTTGAATTTTACCCTCTCGAGCCATCTTCAACGTGTAATTACCTAATCATATACTTTTGAAGCTCAGTCGAAAGTAACTGTGAATGTGTTTAACCTTTACAGCACTTAACATGCCCTACTTCAGTCATGAATTGTTTGTTTCTAAAATGAACAGTATAAGCCCAGGCTAGTCATTCGCGGCTAGGTGATGACGAGGTGTTGGCCGGAGTGACTAATGGTCTCACGCCTACTGCCCCCCCCCCCCGGGTGCTGGCTCCCCCTGCTCCCTGTTTTGCTTTAATTATGCACTGACGTGTGTCTGATTGTCTGTTGGGACCCCTGCCCAGTTGTAGAGGACAGGACGGGAGGGGGGGCGAGACGGCTACTAGCTGTATGGCCAATCAGAGAAGAGTTAGGCAATGTCGTAACCAATCAGAGAAAGGTTATATAAGTGTCGTAATCAGGGGATCAGTTTGAAGCGCAACCAGAGCCAATTGGAATTGAGTTACGAGCGGCCAAGCCAGTCAAAGATATGGAACAGACCTGCGTGAGGGATTAAGGATCAATATGGTGCTTGACAGCTCGCCGGAAACTACGTGTGGTCCCAGAGGGTGGTAAAGGAGGATGGGAATGGTGGTTGTTGTTAGAGATACACTACGGAGTTTAAGGACACTGACGAACGGACGGGTACACTGACGGACGGACAGGCACACGGACCTTGATATTCAACCTGTCCTCACGAATAGTACATTGCATTTTGACGTAAATGACGTATATTTTTGGCCCTTAACAAACGGGTGTACTAAATATCACAGCGGCTCGCAAAAAATGACATGGTGGTCGCGTTTTCTATTCGTGGGTCCTCGGTTAGGTTAGGTTTGGGGAATTTAGTATTTCAGTTTTGTGAAGTTGTGAACTCTCAAGAAGCCGGGCTGATAGAGGAGGGATTAGAAGTCCGCAGGTGTGGACGTTGTGCTGTATGGGTGTTCAGGTGTGGCAGAGAGCTCTTCAAGGCATGGGCGAGGTTGAGGCATAGGGCTGCCCACCGCGTAAGTTAGCGGTACTAAACTTGGCCAATATTGATTGTAGGTTAGTGGTCGAGCGACACCTGGTGGCCGGCACGAGGTTGGCCTGGGGCTGGTGGCCGGTCTAGGACTGGCCTGGGGCTGGTGGCCGGTCTAGGACTGGCCTGGGGCTTGTGGCCGGTCTAGGACTGGCCTGGGGCTGGTGGCCGGTCTAGGACTGGCCCGGGGCTGATGGCCGGTCTAGGACTGGCCCGGGGCTGATGGCCGGTCTAGGACTGGCCCGGGGCTGATGGCCGGTCTAGGACTGGCCCGGGGCTGATGGCCGGTCTAGGACTGGCCCGGGGCTGATGGCCGGTCTAGGACTGGCCCGGGGCTGATGGCCGGTCTAGGACTGGCCCGGGGCTGATGGCCGGTCTAGGACTGGCCCGGGGCTGATGGCCGGTCTAGGACTGGCCCGGGGCTGATGGCCGGTCTAGGACTGGCCCGGGGCTGATGGCCGGTCTAGGACTGGCCCGGGGCTGATGGCCGGTCTAGGACTGGCCCGGGGCTGATGGCCGGTCTAGGACTGGCCCGGGGCTGATGGCCGGTCTAGGACTGGCCCGGGGCTGATGGCCGGTCTAGGACTGGCCCGGGGCTGATGGCCGGTCTAGGACTGGCCCGGGGCTGATGGCCGGTCTAGGACTGGCCCGGGGCTGATGGCCGGTCTAGGACTGGCCCGGGGCTGATGGCCGGTCTAGGACTGGCCCGGGGCTGATGGCCGGTCTAGGACTGGCCCGGGGCTGATGGCCGGTCTAGGACTGGCCCGGGGCTGATGGCCGGTCTAGGACTGGCCCGGGGCTGATGGCCGGTCTAGGACTGGCCCGGGGCTGATGGCCGGTCTAGGACTGGCCCGGGGCTGATGGCCGGTCTAGGACTGGCCCGGGGCTGATGGCCGGTCTAGGACTGGCCCGGGGCTGATGGCCGGTCTAGGACTGGCCCGGGGCTGATGGCCGGTCTAGGACTGGCCCGGGGCTGATGGCCGGTCTAGGACTGGCCCGGGGCTGATGGCCGGTCTAGGACTGGCCCGGGGCTGATGGCCGGTCTAGGACTGGCCCGGGGCTGATGGCCGGTCTAGGACTAGCCCGGGGCTGATGGCCGGTCTAGGACTGGCCCGGGGCTGATGGCCGGTCTAGGACTGGCCCGGGCTGATGGCCGGTCTAGGACTGGCCCGGGGCTGATGGCCGGTCTAGGACTGGCCCGGGGCTGATGGCCGGTCTAGGACTGGCCCGGGGCTGATGCCGTAGTGTTTATATAATGTTGTTACTATATGGGTAATGTTGTTGTTATATGTTCTAACGTTGTGTTGTTGTTGTTGCAGGTGTGGGATGACGCGCGGAGTATGAGTGTAGTGACCCTGGTGGCGGGGGCGGCGCCCCCCGGTGGCCCTGGGAGGCGCGGGGCGCCCTGGGTGCCCTGGCGCGGGCCCCTGCTACTCCTGCTCCTACTCTTGCTGCTGGCAGCCGAGACGACCGGCGGAGGCGAGGGCGAGGCCAGGGACTCGCTGTTCATCGTGGACAGGTACGAGGACGATCCTTGGCAGCAGTTCACGCACTTGACGGTGGACAAGAACACCGGGACGGTGTACGCGGGCGGCGTCAACCGCCTTTACCAGCTGGACCCCAACCTGCGGGTGCTGCAGAACGTGGAAACCGGTCCCGTCAACGACTCCACCGACTGCTCCGCCAGCGACTGCAAGACCGACACCGTCCACACCTTGAAGGCCACGCAGAACGTCAACAAGGTGCTGGTCATCGACTACACCCGCTCGCGGCTCATCGTCTGCGGCACGGTGCGGCAGGGGTCGTGTCAGGTGCGGGACCTGCGGGACATTGTTTCCCACACCCGAAACGTCAGCGAGGCCATCGTGGCCAACAACGCCACGGCGTCCACCGTGGCCTTCATCGCCCCGGGGCCGCCTAACCCGCCCGTGTCGCACGTCCTCTACATCGGCGTCACGTACACGGGGAAGTCCGTGTACCGCGACGAGGTGCCGGCCGTCGCCTCACGCTCGCTCGAAGATGACAAGTTCTTCGACATCGCGGTGACGGACGTGACGACCAGCACCCGGATGCTGGTCAACTCGCTGGCCCGCGAGCGCTACCCCATCTCCTACGTATACGGCTTCGGCTCCGAGAAGTTCAGTTACTTCCTGACACGGCAGATGGAGGACACGAACACGGGCTCGCCCTACATCAGCAAGCTGGTGCGTGTCTGCCAGAACGACTCTGCCTACTACTCCTACACGGAGATACCCATAGAGTGTAAGGACTCTCAGGGCAAGCGCTACAACCTGGCCCAGGCAGCCTACGTGGGCAAGCCGGGCACCGACCTGGCTACCCAGCTGGGCATACAGACCAACGACGACGTACTCTTCGCCGTGTTCTCGCCGTCGGATCCCACCGAGGGGGAGACGTCGCCGCGCCCGGGCCAGACAAGCGCACTATGCGTGTACAGCATGAAGTCGGTGAGGCGCATGTTCATCAATAACATACAGGAGTGCTTCCGAGGCAAGGGCGACCGAGGACTGGACTTCATCTCCCCGTCGCATCGTTGCATCGAAACGGTAAGTCAATGTGATCTGTTTACTTTTCGTCCCCGACACACGACTCTCGACACTAGATGTTATCGGTACTGAAAACACGGAGAAAGTGACAACTAGTGATATTGTTATCAAATAAATGTTGTGAAGAAAGACTTCGAAGTATTAACAGGTGGTATTATTTCATTGGAGACATACGCGAAACCTTTGAGATAGGCTACTGAAGAATTTACATGAATACAAAACATTAACTGTCTGAGATATAGGCAAAATTCAATAGTGACAAGAAACGACTGGATAAGTATTTTGAAAGTAGCAGGACCCATGGCGGTGTGAGAGTGAAGGCGGGAGATGTGGTACACACTAGTGCCTCTCATACTATGGTTTCCTACCATTTTTATTTGTAGATGCTAAACAACCTCGATATTCTGCCTTTCCTGCCAAATTTCCAAGAGTGTCACTTTGACGTGGTGCTCGGTCCTAAGCGTTTCCACGCCTGTAGCAGGAGTCAGAAGTATTGGAGAATGGGGGGAGTCTCCTTTCATATTCTGATCTCTAACAACGCATAAATTAGTAGAAGTACAGTCGGTATACTTTCCCAGCATATACCCCAGTTCATAACGCCACATGTTTCCTGTTGCTTGTCTTTCCTGCGTGTTTGGAGCAGGCCGTTCCTGCCTCTCATAATTGTTGGGATAATAGGACCTGGCCTTGGATGCAATAGCTGGCACGCAAATCGCTGATGTGATACATGCGAGCTTTAGAAAAATGTGACCATGTGGTTTATAGGCCATAAAGTGCGCACGAAGCAAGAGCTGGCAATTCAGGAAAATGGGCCTTCAACTTCCTAGCTGACAGAGCCCAGCGAGCTAGTCAACAGTCACATCTGGACGACACGATACTTTGTGGCGCAAAAATAGAGGACACAGAAAACCACCAAATTGATGTGATCCATGTTCATTTATATAATATATATATATATATATATATATATATATATATATATATATATATATATATATATATATATATATATATGTGTCGTACCTAGTAGCCAGAACGCGCTTCTCGGCCTCCTATGCAAGGCCCGATTTGCCTAATAAGCCAAGTTTTCATGAATTGTTTTTCGACTACCTAACCTAACTTTTTTGGCTACCTAACCTAACTTTTTTGGCTACCTAACCTAACCTAACCTATAAAGATAGGTTAAGTTAGGTAGGGTTGGTTAGGTCATATATCTACGTTAATTTTAACTCCAATAAAAAAAAATGACCTCATACATAATGAAATGGGTAGCTTTATCATTTCATAAGAAAAAAATTAAAGAAAATATATTAATTCAGGAAAACTTGGCTTATTAGGCAAATCGGGCCATGCATAGTAGGCTGAGAAGTGCGTTCTGGCTACTAGGTACGACAAATATATATATATATATATATATATATATATATATATATATATATATATATATATATATATATATATATATATATATATATATATATATATATATATATATATATATATATATATATATATATGTCGTACCTAATAGCCAGAACGCACTTATCGGCCTACTATGCAAGGCCCGATTTGCCTAATAAGCCAAGTTTTCCTGAATTAATATATTTTCTCTAATTTTTTTCTTATGAAATGATAAATCTAACCATTTCATTATGTATGAGGTCAATTTTTTTTATTGCAGTTTAAATTAACGTAGATATATGACCAAACCTAACCAACCCTACCTAACCTAACCTAACCTATCTTTATAGGTTAGGTTAGGTTTGGTAGCGGAAAAAGTTAGGTTAGGTTAGGTTAGGTAGGTTAGGTAGTCGAAAAACAATTAATTCATGAAAACTTGGCTTATTAGGCAAATTGGGCCTTGCATAGTAGGCTGAGAAGTGAGTTCTGGCTACTAGGTACGACATATATATATATATAAATTATTACATTTTTGTACAGCCACTAGTACGCATAACGTTTCGAGCAAGTCCTTGATCCTAATTTTCTCCGGAATACGACCCGCCAAATAGTTTAACAACCAGGTACCCATTCTCTGTTGGGTGAACAGAGCCTACAGTTAAGGATTGGCGCCCGGTCAATCCTCCCCGGCCAGGATACGAACCCAGGCCAAAGTGGTCGCGAAGTGCCGGGCGAGTGCTTTACTACTGCACGATGCAGCGGTCCCCGTCATTGTCATATAATGAGCCACAAAAAAAAACCTTACGAGTTCAGTGAAGAGCCCTAATCATCTCACTCAAGACCACACACTGCTCCTCTCCCCCACACCACACACACTGCTCCCCTCCCCCATCACCACACACCCTGCTCCCCCCCCTCGCACCACACTCTGCTCCCCCTCCCCCCTCGCACCACACACCCTGCTCCCCCCCCCTCGCACCACACACCCTGCTCCCCCCCCCTCGCACCACACACCCTGCTCCCCCCCCCCCTCGCACCACACACCCTGCTCCCCCCCCCCTCGCACCACACACCCTGCTCCCCCCCCTCGCACCACACACCCTGCTCCCCCCCCTCGCACCACACACCCTGCTCCCCCCCCCTCGCACCACACACCCTGCTATAGAAACCTTGTATGTTGGCAGACACAGTAAAGCTTCCATACTACCTGACCTCTCCTGAGAGTGCTCGGAGTGTTCTCATATATGGATAAGAGAGCTTTCCTATATATTGAAAATGTTGGTTCCGGTCCCTAATCTTCAGGATCAAATAATAACTTAGTAGAGAGAGATGCTGTAAGTGGAGTTTAATAAACGTAATTAAAAGCACGGGCTGCACAAGTATAAACCCCGCCTAATTAAGCTTATGCCGGACAAGTAAGTAAATATTATCGAAATATTTCAGATAGGCAGTGATTTTATTTTGATTTTAGAACCAACAACTCTCTCGCTGCCATGGTCCCACAGTGCTGAGAACCGCCACTTACCCTGGCCCCACAGTGCTGGGAACCGCCACTCACCCTGGTCCCACAGTGCTGGGAACCGCCACTCACCCTGGTCCCACAGTGCTGGGAACCGCCACTCACCCTGGTCCCACAGTGCTGAGAACCGCCACTTACCCTGGCCCCACAGTGCTGAGAACCGCCACTCACCCTGGTCCCACAGTGCTGAGAACCGCCACTTACCCTGGCCCCACAGTGCTGAGAACCGCCACTTACCCTGGCCCCACAGTGCTGAGAACCGCCACTCACCCTGGTCTCACAGTGCTGAGAACCGCCACTCACCCTGGCCCCACAGTGCTGGGAACCGCCACTTACCCTGGCCCCACAGTGCTGGCAACCGCCACTTACCCTGGTCCTACAGTGCTGGGAACCGCCACTTACCCTGGTCCTACAGTGCTGGGAACCGTCAGTCACCATGGCCTCACAGTGCTGGGAACCGTCACTCACCATGGCCCCACAGTGCTGAGAACCGCCACTCACCCTGGCCCCACAGTGCTGAGAACCGCCACTCACCCTGGCCCCACAGTGCTGGGAACCGCCACTTACCCTGGCCCCACAGTGCTGGGAACCGCCACTTACCCTGGCCCCACAGTGCTGGGAACCGCCACTTACCCTGGCCCCACAGTGCTGAGAACCGCCACTTACCCTGGTCCCACAGTGCTGGGAACCGCCACTCACCCTGGTCCCACAGTGCTGGGAACCGCCACTCACCCTGGTCCCACAGTGCTGGGAACCGCCACTCACCCTGGTCCCACAGTGCTGGGAACCGCCACTCACCCTGGTCCCACAGTGCTGGGAACCGCCACTTACCCTGGCCCCACAGTGCTGGGAACCGCCACTTACCCTGGCCCCACAGTGCTGGGAACCGCCACTTACCCTGGCCCCACAGTGCTGAGAACCGCCACTTACCCTGGTCCCACAGTGCTGGGAACCGCCACTCACCCTGGTCCCACAGTGCTGGGAACCGCCACTCACCCTGGTCCCACAGTGCTGGGAACCGCCACTCACCCTGGTCCCACAGTGCTGGGAACCGCCACTCACCCTGGTCCCACAGTGCTGGGAACCGCCACTCACCCTGGTCCCACAGTGCTGGGAACCGCCACTCACCCTGGTCCCACAGTGCTGGGAACCGCCACTCACCCTGGTCCCACAGTGCTGGGAACCGCCACTCACCCTGGTCCCACAGTGCTGGGAACCGCCACTCACCCTGGTCCTACAGTGCTGAGAACCACACCTCCCCAGGTTCCACACCTCCCCAGGCCACACCTCCCCAGGCCACACCTCCCCAGGCCACACCTCCCAACACAACCCGTCACCCCAGACAGATCTGGGGGTGGTGCGTGCCTCGCCAACTTGGTAAACATGGGCGTTAGGACAGCCAGACACCATTTACCTCCTCTCCACCCCTCGCTCACAAATTCTGAGCCGGACGCTCCCCTCGTTAAATTGTAAGCGGGCAAGATCTATACTTCTAAACACCTCGTCTTTCTCCCAGTCACAATAGAGGACCACCCGAACCCACGACCAATTATACCTCTCCTTTAAATAGTGATTGTCCGGTTTGATGGAACTAAACATACTATTCTTCACTGTTTAAAGTGTTTGCGCAGCTATCGAGGTTAGCTAAGGTTAGATTAACCTAACTATGCAGATGAAGAGTCACTATAACGCTGCTGAAATATGTTGACCAAACCACACACTAGAAAGTGAAGGGACGACGACGTTTCGGTCCGTCCTGGACCATTCACAATCGACTGGAGAACAGTCCAGGACGGACCGAAACGTCGTCGTCCCTTTACTTTCTAGTGTGTGGTTTGGTCAACTTAACCTAACTAACCTCGCTTTACTAAGTGTGGTGAACATTGCGAGGAAGATGAGGTTATGTTTAGTGAAACAAGTGCCGTTCGTGGATTTGTGTATAAAGATTTTAGTATGTGGCTGCGGCCAGCAGTCCTCTGCCCCGTCACGTCCCTCTGTTTACACTCATCAGCTCCTATTCAAGTCTTGGCTTCTGAAAAATACGTCGCCAAAATACATTCCGCGGATCTTTTCTAACTTCGTTTTCTTCCAGGGTGATTTTTTTGGTATTGATTGTATACAAAATTTAGGCGCCAATATGGAAAAAAACGAGGAAATTGATTTGAAA